AATGCAAATATTCCAAGCGTGGCCTTCCCAGGGCCTTATAAAGTGGCCTTAGGCCTCCACAGGATCTTGATTCTTAGCTAGGTTCCTACCTTGTGCAAACCTGAAAACTGTTACTTCAGGGAGAAAAGAAAAGGGTGAAACCTGCTGAGCCAGCCTTCCTACATTCATAAGACACAGTCTCCAGGTTTATATAGGCACACGGCTGGAATCGCACCAGAGGCCGAGGGGAGCCTGGCTGATTTGGGGGTTCGTTGGGCTGTGGGCGAAGAGGAAGGGAACCCCTCAACTTAATTCTGAAAGTCAGGAGGGGTTCAGAAGAACCAAACAACCAAAGAAGCCTGAACTCAGTTACATGGTGGCTAAAAACCGTGGAGGACATTCCAGAAACGTCTTTTTTAAAGCAGAAAAAAAAGATGGACGGAGGATCTCTTATAGACGCCCATCTCTTCAAGAAAAGCAGGGCCCCACCACCAAAAGGCAGGCAGAAACCAGAAATAAATAAGTACACCTCTGCGCCCCCCCCTCTGCCCATTAAACAAAATATTTCAGCACCCCCAGCCAGAGGTATCTCATGGGTGAGGTCATCCATACCGGTTTGAAAAGCTTAGGTTACGCCTGCATCCCTTTAGCTAAACCTGGTTATCTCTCCCTCTCTCCCTCTCTCTCTCTTTCCTATCTATCTATCTATCTATCTAGGCAGCGTGGGGGGGGGGAGGCATTAATTCAGGAATTAGTGAAGCCACTGCAAGGGGCGGGGGGGGGGGATCCAGAAGCAGTTGGAAAAACAAGGGGAAGGGGAGGTGCCTCCATCTAAGAGCCCTGTCTATAAAAGGAGGTGCAAATAAATCGCAAAAAAATTAAGAAACTCTCTTGTCCAGACAGTCCTTGGCTTAAACCACCAAACAGAAATATCAGACCATCCTGGTTTTTGGAAATTGTTCTTTTAGGGAAGGAAGAAAGCAGATTTTTTGGGGGGTGGGTGGGTGGGAGGGAGGGAATAATTATCCCCTTCTCCAAGGTTCCCCAGCTCTCTGCCCTGCTTCTCAGGGGCGGCTTTTCTGGCTTGGCTTCCACGCCCCCCCACTCACCCACCCCACTTCTCCCACCCAAGACGGATCGGCTTAAACCCCCAGCCACCCCACCCCCCACATTTCCGTCCCGCGGTTGAGAAATGAGATTTCTCTCTCTCTCTCTCTCTCTCTCTCTCTTGCCTCGGCCGCTTCAAAACCCCACCGGGGGCTCGTTTCTCGTTCGCGATTGCATCAGTGGAAAATNGGTGTGATTCACTTAACATCCTCATTGCTTAACGACTGAAAATCTGCTGGTGATTGAATGTCGAGGGCTACTTCCAACTCCTTCAAATGGATGGAAAAAAACATGCATTTTTTTTTGAGCCTCCAGAAGCAGGTTTTTTTTTAATGTCTCTCTTCTCAACCACATAACTTCCTCTCTTCACCCCCGGAAGTGTTTTAACGGTGCATCCCAATTTGCTAGAACGCATCAACTGCGCTTATGATTCAGCTGCATTTCCCCCCCTCTCGGTCACAGGTTGGCCAACGACTCAAACCATCATCCGGTGTTCTAGAAACATTGCAGAGCTGGAGAGGAAATAAGAACCATGCTAAACTTTCTGCACTTTCCCCCACCCCCCAAAAACCCCCACCTGCCATTGGAGTTGGGTAAAATGGAAGGTGGATATTTCAGTCTTGTTTTCTGCCAGGCGAATAAATCCAGAGCCTCACGTGATGGGGCTTTGATTGAAAAAAAAAAACGATTTTAAGGCATTTCCCCACTGCGGTCCTTGAACTTGGTTCTTTCCTTGCAGAGAATATCATAAGTGCTAGAAGAGAATGGGGTGTGTGGGGAGGAGGAGGAGGAGGAGGAGGAGGAAAGAGACTGTGGGGTCCCTGGTCCTGTCTGAGCTTGGTGGTTTCCTTGCAGATGTTTCATGACCCAAGTAGGTAACATCATCAGTAGTAGAAGGGAGTAGAGTTTGCGGAGAGGAGGAGGAGGAGGAGAAGAGGAAGAAGAAGAAAAGGACGAGGAGGAAGAAGAGGACGAGGAGGAAGAAGAAGGAAGGAGTACTGTGGGTGCATTTTTACCTGGCAGAAGCTGGGACAAGTAACGGGAGCTCACTCCGTTATGTGGCACTAGGGATTTGAACCGCCAAACTGCTGACCTTTCTGATTGACAAGCTCAGCATCTTAGCCACTGGGCCACCGACTCCCAGCATGACCTCCCTTCAAAGGAATACTGATGCATAAGCAGTGATAACAGAAACAAATCCCATTAAACCAAAAAAAGGATTCTGTCAAATTACTCACATAATTTCAAAATACCTCCGGATGTTTCCATCTAAGAAAACTGCTCACCCTAACTCCCCCCCCCCACTCGTGCACTTTTCTTTCTTTAAAGAAAATTTAAAAAACTTCTAGGCAACATCCAAGTGAACAAACTTCCCCTTCAGACGTCCGTGAATGTACAGAAGTGGGTGAAGAAGAAAAAAAAAGAGAGAAAGGGAAAATATTTGCGAAGAACGCCGAGGCACCGAAAGCAAGAAGGCGGCCCTTGTTTAGGCAAGCAAATGAATAATTTACTGGGACTTCACATCCATTAAATCCATTGTGTTTGCAGTCCTGCCTTCCGAAGGAGTTAGGTCATTTGCACACTCACTTCATAGCGCTAATGGCACGAATTTTTATCCAGGAAGACTATTTCTCAGGAAACGCCAATTAGATCTCCAGCCGAAATCCGGCCTCGGAAGGAGAAATCCGTAACAGGGCATTTTTCACGCGGCTCAACAACTCGCTCTGGAAAAGTCCCAAAAGGATCTCGCCAACTGTGGCTCCTCCCAGCAAAGGGATTCACTCAACAAACGTGGCAAGGACAGTCATAAAACAGGGCAAAACTCACCGAAGACACACGTCTCACTTAGCAACAGAAGCAGAGTTGTGTGTGGGGGGGAGAGAAATCAACCCAGGGCTTTGAAAGCATTAACTCAGTGTTTCTCAACCTTGGCAACTTGAAGATGTCTGGACTTCAAGTCCCAGAATTCCCCAGCCAGCATACACTGCATTAACTCCTGCGAGACTCCTGCTAAAATATGCATCTATCCAGTTGGAACTGATTTTCAAAACAAAACAAAAAAAGCTGTGTTTTGGTTTTATTTTCACAAAGCCGCTCATATTTTCTTCCCGTGGAGGATTTAAGCACAGAAGCCTCCTTTGTTCCTGACATTCTTGAACAAAACCTCAAGCATAACTAGAGATGAGATCCACAGGGCAAAAAAAAATAAAGTATTTTCGTGGCCGGGAGAAAATTGTATCAGCATATCTGCCCGAGATTGTGTGAGAGCTGCTCTCTTTTGAAATTCTGCAACAGCATCTATTCTGACAAAATAGGGAGCACTTTGCAAACGGCATAAATTATTCAAATAAAACAAGCATGTGGAGGGGTTTTTCTTTTTTTGAGCTTCATTTTAAAATTCCAAAAGTGGCACAGATTTCTTCCTGTAGCTCAGAGTGACCAAGGGATGCCCTAGGACTGGGAAGTCATGAGATCTAGAAACTGCCATGCTTGCCACGGCAGTTGTACAACATTTGCAAGGCTGTGGAAGATGGGGATGCGAGAGTGATGGGTCCTTGTACCTGGTGTGCGTGTTACCTAAGGCCCTCCTGTTGGTTTTACAGCCCATCTCGTCCCTTTGTGTTGAATACTGAAAACGGAGGAAGCGTCTTCTTGGCCCCCGGGTGGGATCTTTCTGTCCATTCTCTCCTCCTTTTGTTTCTCAGTTTCTTCCTCTCCGCCTGGTTTATTTCGCAGCCTCATTTCGCTCTCTTACACACACACACACAAGCCTACGCAGCTTCACATTGTGCCCTCCTGCCCCCCGGGGAAATCCAGGGCCCCAAACACAAACCAACAACCCTCTTCTCCCCGTTGTAAGAAAAGAAAAGAGGTAAATTAATTCCCCTTGAGTGCAAAAGAACCAACAACAACAACCAAAGACCAGAATAACAGAATTGGAAGGGACCTCGGAGGTCTTCTAGTCCAGCCCCCTGCTCAAGCAGGAGACCCTATGCCATTTCAATCAGAATGGAGCTGGAAGGGACCTCGGAGGTCTTCTAGTCCAGCCCCCTGCTCAAGCAGGAGACCCTATCCCATTCCACACAACTGGCTACCCAGACTCTTCTGGAAAAGAGTGTTGGGGCACCCACAACTTCTTGGGGCAAGCTATTCCACTGGCTAATTGTTCTCGCAATCATGCGAACAAGNCACCCACCCACGTGAGTCTCTGCAAACGCAGCCGGCTGCGTTTTTGGAGACCTCAAAAACGAGAGAGGAAAAAGAGAGATTATTTTTGTCCTGGCTAAGCAGAAAAAAAACCTCAAATCAAAGTTGGCTTTTTTTAATGATCTCTCTCTGCCTCTTCAGGTTTTTCCTGCCCCGTGTAAGTCAGTCAGTGCCGCCCCAACATATCAATTCAGATGAAAACCCAGAGCTCAGACTCCCCTTTTCCAGCCAAAGTTAATTGCACGTTTGCAAGTCGGACTTTGCTCTTTGCCAGTCTTGAAAGCATTCATTTCTTTCTCTGCGTCCTTCCAAAAGAGATCATCACACCGAGGACCTGTGCCCCGAGGGGGAGCCCTAGGCGTGCTATTTATGCTTTGTGCCAAGGAAACAGGAGGGCGCTGATGTTGGCAGAAACACCCAATGGGGAATTAAAAGTCCCGAGAGGAGCCACCTGCTTTTCTTCCTTTGCTGGCTCAGGAGGCGTTTAGATGCTCTTGTCAAGAAATAAAATGACTGTACGGCCATAAGGAGCCCTGCAATGTTTGTATGTCAAGTTACTAGTCCATAAAGTCCTTCCTTCCTTCCTCCTTTCCATCCCTCTATCCATCCCTGACTTCGGCCCAGGGTTTCCTCTCTGTTCAGTTCGTTCCATCCACCCATTGGAAAGAAATCAGAAAGTTTAATGGGGAAAAAAAAAACGTCCTTACCGATTTCCTTTCCTGCTTGAGTTCTTGTACGTAACGGGCTAACTCGGTGGTGATTTGGGAAGTCATGTTCTCGGAAATGACTTCGTGCTGACCGGCGTAATCGTTCATTTCGTTCAAAGTTGCCAGGAAAGCTTGACAAGATGAATACCTAAAAGGAGCCCGAAAAAGAAAATTGAAACGCAAAAACACTTTTTAAAAATCATTTCACTTTTCGGGAGGTTGGACTCGTCCCATTATGCCTAGACAGCATGTAGAACAGTGTTTCTCAACCTTGGCAACTTGAAGATGTCCGGACTTCAACTCCCAGAATTCCGGGAATTCTGGGAGTTGAAGTCCGGACATCTTCAAGTTGCCAAGGTTGAGAAACACTGATGTAGAACATAGAGAATCCTAAAGCTGGGAGGGGCCCCAGAGGTCTTCTAGTCCAGCCCCTTGGTGCCTGTTAAATGCAGACATGTGTTAAACCAGAGTTTCCCAAACATTTTCCTTCAGTACCAAAATCACTAATCAGAAAGTCTTATCAAGCTTTGAGGACCTTCCTACATACATAGATAGATAGATAGATAGATAGATAGATAGATAGATAGATAGATAGATNGATTGTTGTTGGGGGCGATATGCTGACTCTGTAAACCGCTTAGAGAGGGATGAAAGCCCTATGAAGCGGTATATAAGTCTAACTGCTATTGCTATCTTCCAATCACATCTTTGGCTAGTGGCTTAACACCTATCCCCCTGCGTTTATGTTTTGATGCATCAGAGATGTTTGTAGGGAAGATAAGTAAGAATACATACCCACCCGTGTGTGTGTGTGTGTGTGTGTGTGTGTGTGTGTGTGTGTTTGTGTGTGTGTGTACACACATCCCTCCCTCCCTATCGATCTCTATTTATAGTTCTATAAAAACCTCATAATAAGTAATCCTGTTTCAGGATGCTGTGTGACAGAGAGATGGAGAGATGGACAGACAGACAGACAGTTAGATGTAGACAGATGGATTGATAGATGAATGGATGGACAGACAGACAGATAGGGTGACAGATAGATATAGACAGAGATGGAGGGACGGACGGACGGACAGACATTAAAAGTCTCAGAAGGAGGAGGCGGTGTGACTTAACACAGAGCTCTCTGACGGTGCAGCACCCCTGGGGGACGGCAGAGGGCGCACGCCTCCACTCCAGGCGCGAAGAAAGCAGCGGCTGCTAGTGGAGACGTCGCCCTTTCCTCCGCCGGCCTCTCTGTGGTCCGCCCGCTTTCGCTTTCCCCTCACCGGAAGTCCCGTGACGTTCCAGCGGCGGGCGGCGGTGACCTCTAACCCCGGAAGAGGGCGTCCGGGGCGATGTTGACGCTGGAGTGAAGATGGCGGCGGGAGGGAGCGGCGGCGGCGGCGGCGGTTCCGGCTTCCTCTGCCGGCTCCTCCTGGCCCTCCTGGCCGGGCTGCTCTCGGGGGGGCCCGCGCAGGCCCGGCTCCACCATCTCACCCTCAAGGTAGGAGGACGAGGGGGGCCTTTCCCCGCCCCGCCCGGAGTCCCCAGCCCCATCATCCCCTGCCTGGAACCCCGTCAGTCTGGTACACCCAGCCCCATCATCCTTGGCTGGGTTGCTCTACGTACCTTCCGCCCTAAAGGCCATCACCCCCAGCCTGGAATCCCTTCTACCTCATCTCCCATCATCCCCAGCTGAATCCTATCAGGCTGGTACTCCCCAATCCCATCATCCTTGGCTGGGTTGCTTTAGGACCTTTCTACCCTGAAGGCCATCGTCCCCAGCCGGGAATCCCTTCTTATACTTCATCCCCATCAGCTGACTCCCTTCAGGCTGGTACCCCCCAGTCCCATCATCCTTGGCTGGGTTTCTTTAACACTGTTGTACTTCAGTCACCATCAGCCCCAGTCTGGAACATCCCCGTCCCATCCTACTTTGCTAGATTCCTCTTTAGGACATTTGTATCCCGACAACCATCCTCCCCAGCTGACTTCCTTCGGGTTTGTAGTTCCAATCCCATCACCCCCAACCTGGAATCCTTTAGTGCTGTTGCACTCCAGTCCCATCACTCTTGGCTGGATTCCTTTAAGATTGTTGTACCCCAATCCCCATCATCCCCAGCCTGGAATCTCTTGAGGTTGTTGCCCTCCACTCCCACCTTCCCCAGCCCAATCTCTTTAGGCTGGTACCTCCTAGTCCCATCATCCTCATCTGGATCCCTTTAGGACTGCTCCACCCCAACCACCATCATCCTCAGCCTGAAGTACCTTCAGAGTACTCAGCCCCATCTTCCCCAGCTGGAATCTCCTCAGTCTGGTGTCCTCCAGCCTCCCTGGATTCTCCACTCCCACCTTCCCCAGCCCAATCTCCTCAGGCTGGTATCTCCTCCATCATCCACCTCTGGATTCCTTTAGGGCTGTTCTACCCCAACCACCTTCATCCCCACCGGAGTCCCTTCAGGCTGGTACTCCCCAGACCATCATCCTTTAGGATTTGGAAACTTGATCTGAGAAGACTTTTATCCAACCTCATCGCTATCGAATATCCGGTCAAATCTTATCTACTAGCAAGAATGTGCAGAAACGAAGCAACTGGCAGGAGTTGAATCGCCCAACTTTCAACGTATTCTTTAAAAGTCAACTTTTTTGGCCCGTGTCCATGGAAGGCATCATTTCTTAAATTACCACTTAGAGCAGTGTTTCTCAACCTTGGCGACTTTAAGTCCTGTGGACTTCAACTCCCAGAATCCCCCAGCCAGGGGGTCGCCAAGTCGCCAAGGTTGAGAAACACTGACTTAGAGTGTCTTTCGAATAAAATGTCTACCAAGACTGTGCAAGTGGAAATATTCAGGATGAGCCTTCTGTTTGTTCATGCTTCATTTATCTGTATCTGTCACCATCATCATCTTCTAATGACACCATTAAAAGATGAGGTGAAATGTCTGGGCAACTGAATGGAGCTGAGTGTTTACTGGCCAGATGCCCTTCCTGTTGCCAATGTGGAGTTTTGTTTGGCAGATATATTCTCATCGTGCCCAGAGAGAGAAATATCTGCCTCTACCTAGGCTCGAACTCACAGCCTCCTGATTGGGAGGTGAGAACTCCACCTCTAAGCTACCGCACCCCTCACATTTATCTATATTTGTGACACCGCTTAATTTTAAAATTTCTAGCTGGGAATTAAGTTGATCCACTACTATTTTAGCAGGTTGTTTCATATCAAACTCTTTTTGAAATACTTGAATTGTAAAAGCTGTAACTAGGCAGTGGTTTCCTTAGTCCTCGGATACAGGTTTCCTTAACTTCATAACTGCAATTCTCAGGAAATACGTGTCCTATCCTGAAAGAACAGTCAGCACCTCAAACATGTTAAGGTTGTTTATTTTAACGCACCAGTGACGGTGTTTAGAGTACAGCTTTCTTTTCAGCTCCCAAGTCTTAACCATTGAAATTGGAAATATTCTCTTTTATCTTTTGCTCAGAACATTCAGTGAGTCTTTGTTGACATTAGCCAGAACTTTTAATCTTGTAATTTATCACTTCAGCATTTGATATTGTTGCTGGAGGGGAAAAATACGTTGGTATGTCACCATATTTCTGATGAGTTGGCAGTATTGTGAAATATTCCTTTTCCGAACTAAAACAACTTTGGGTTTATTTTTGTTTTTTGTGGTAGACTTAATTTTTTTTAGGAAAGCTATTATTTTTGGGGAAAGCTATGGCAAATCTAGATAGCATCCTAAAAAGCAGAGCCATCACCCGGCCAACACAAGTGCATATCGTCAAGGCGATGGTTTCCCCAGTTGCAAAGGATGGGTGTGAAGGTTGGACCATAAGGAAGGCTGAGTGCCAACGAATGGAGGCCTTTTAACTCTTGTGCTGGAGAAGGCTCCTACGAATCCCTGAAGAGGAAACTCAAATGCTTTGGCCACCTGATGAGAAGGAAGAAGGACTCCCTGGAGAAGAGCCTCATGCTGGGAAAGATGGAGGGCAGAAGAAGAAGAAGGGGACGGCAGAGAAGGAGGTGGCTGGATGGAGTCACCGAAGCAGCGTAGGCGTCAGTGGACTCCAGAGGATGGGAGAGGACAGGAAGACTNTAGATAGATAGATAGATAGATAGATAGATAGATAGATAGATAGATAGATAGATAGATATAGATAAATAGCTAGATAGCGAGAGAGAGAGAGAGAGAGAGAGAGAGAGAGAGAGAGATGGTAAAGTTTCTCTGGCACATATGTGCCAGTCGTTCCTGACTCTAGGGGGCGGTACTCATCTCTGTTCCAAAGCCGAAGAGCCAGCGCTGTCCGAAGATGTCTCTGTAGTCCCACCAAAGGTGTTTCCTATTTTTCTACTTGCATCTTTTACGTGCTTTTCAACTGCTCGGTTGGCAGAAGCTGGGACAAGTCACGGGAGCTCACTCCGTTACGCAGCGCTAGGGATTCGACCTTTTCTGATCGAGAGGCTCAGCGTCTTAGCCACTGAGCCACCGCATCAATATATATATATATATTTGCAGGTGACGCTTTGGTTGAAAACCTACATGTATTCATCCTCTTCTTTGGAATTCTTTTTGGGCTGGTATTTCTTTGCGAGGTTCCTAAAAATAAAAGTGGAAAGGGAGAGAAGGGAATAAATAAATAAATGAATAAATACCAGTAAATAACTTAGGAAACTTTTTCTTTTCTTCTTCAAACAGAAGATCAGTTGTTCAGTCGGCTGGGTCGGTTTTGCGGCCATTTAAGATAAGAATATTCCCCCGGCAAACAGAAAATACGCAATTGCAAACTTCCCAAAATAGCACGGCTTTACGACTGTAATTCTGGGCTCAAGCACGGTCGTAAAGACGAGGACAGCCTAAAGACCTTGAATCGGCGGCACAAGCGACTGAAAACTACGATTAATTTGTCACCCCAGCCTCTCTTGTGCTTTTTCCAAGGAAAAACTTCATTTTGTTCCCAAAATAAAGAGAAACGGTGCAGGCTGCTAAATTTGGAACTCGGGTGAAGTTGCTTGTCCAATGAGACCATCAGCGTCTCCTCCTAACGATGAAACATTTGAGACTTCAATCAGACACCTGAAGGTAGTTTTATTTTTGTATCAGCCATAAACTATGCTGAAAATGGAATGGGCCAAGTTGGGGATAAAATAATGCATAAAGCAAATTATAAAGGCAACGAAGGAGGATCTCCATTCCTATTTAGGAGTCACAATCATGGAAACTCGCAGGAGACAGGAGAAGCTGAAGGGCACATAAATAAACAGGACTTCTGATAGAAAACAGCCAGCCAGCAAGAGGGATTTTCTTTGGATTTGCAGGAGTCGGGGGCCAAAACATCTACGAAAAAAAACCATGCTTTGTCTGTAAAACCCTAAATCTGAAACTCAGAAACGGTAACAAAAAAAAAAAGCTTTGCCCAGTTTAAAAGGTAAAGATTCCCCTCGCACATATGTGCCAGTTGTTCCCGACTCTAGGGGGCGATGGTGGTCATCTCTGTTCCAAAGTCCAAGAGCCAGCGCTGTCGGAAGAAGTCTCTGTGGTCATGTGGCCAGCATGACTCAACACCGAAGGCGCACAGAACACTGTTATCTTTCCACCAAAGGTGGTTTCTATTTTCCTACTTGCATTTTTTAACGTGCTTTCGAACTGCTAAGTTGGCAGTCACGGGAGCTCACTCCATTACACGGCGCTAGGGATTCGAACTGCCGACCTTTCTGATCAACAAGCTCAGCATTTTCGCCAGTGAGCCACCATGTCCCTCTATGATTTGTCTAGAAAACCTTAAATCTGAAACTCAGAAACGGTAACAAAAAATATCAAAATAAACTTTGCCCGTTTAGGTAGCTTTAAATCCATAAATCCCTTCCCTCAAACCTGGTTCAGGATACTTGGCAAATGCAGGTAAATCCTACAAGAATTACGCACTTCGGACTCACCTAAGCTGCTTTGCATAATTGATTTCGATCTCCGTCCGATCCTTGACAAATTTGATGTATTTTTCTAGAATGTCGATTCCCCATTGGGTGTGTTTTTCGAGGGTGTCAAATTGATCCTGTAGAGGAAGACAGAGTGGCAAAGTTGGAGAGGGACCTTGGAGGTCTTCTAGTCCAACCCCTTGCTCAGGGAGAAAAGAGAGAGAGAAATGTTTAATTGGCCACCGCTGTCTCCTGGCGATTGGCCCAAAGCCACCCAGGGGGCTTTCATGCCCTAAGGCAGGACTAGAACTCACCACCCAGGCGGTTTTCATGCGTAAGACAGGACTAGAACTCACTGTTTCCTGGTGATTGGCCCAAAGGGTAGAGATTGGGGAGCCCCCTTTTATGAAAGGCTTAATTCAGTTCTCTCCACATTGTTGAGGTTTGGGATAGATGACCCTTTAGGGTCCCTTCCAGACCACTTCAAGCACCAGTGGCTGAAGTCAAGTTGAAAGGTTGCCATTCCTGGACCGCAACTTTGACAACTTTTTTCATACCGCCGGGATCTGAAGTGAGCGAAATAATTCTGTGAGGTTTAACACCTCCCACCCACTCCCCGCATCCTTTCCAAAGCCCCTCACCACTCCCCGGACTCCCAGGGCATCCACTCCATTGGACGGATCTCCCGCCTCGAAGTCATACTTGCCATTGAGTCAACCCTGGTTTCTCCAATCAGCCACACACAGGTGTGCCCAGGCAAACGACTTAAGCCTCAAGTGCGAAATATCCAACGGCACCGAAAGGAAAGACAGGATGCTGCGGGCTTCCTGGGACCGCGACCCACCGGGGCATCCTCAACGGTGAAGGATGATTGGAGGAATGTAAAATAAGCAAAGCCCCCCCCACCCCCCAAGATTTGGAATTGAAGTCACAAAATCCCACCCAGCAGCTGTTCCGAGTCTGGTGAGCTCCTTCCAGCAAATTGCGAGGACCCCCAGTGAAGCAGACCGAAGGGGCAGTTTTCGGCTGCTGCCATAGCAACAGAGCCAGCATGCCTACGGAGGGTGTGTGTGTGTGTACGGGGGGGGGGGGGGTCTCCTCCGCCAATGGAGCATCACTCGCCTGGCTGTTCCATTTCTAACCGCGATTTGATTCGAGGAAGCCCACGGCCTCTTCTGCCAATCAGGCCCCTCCGCCAGCGGAGCTCTGTGGAAGGAGCCGTGCCAGTCTGCACTCAGCTGCAGGGCTGGCAACGTTGAGGGCAGAAGGTGACTCTGAGCCAGGGGGTCCCTCTCCCCCCCCTACACACAGAAGCTTCCCATCGAGGCTGAAAAGATGCCACATCTTTCGTGCATAGCAGCAAGCCCACCCGCCTCAGGGTTGTCGCTCAGGGCTGTGCCGCCACAGGGTTGCAGGTACTGGAGGCAGATTGCAAACATGCATAGGGTAAAGGTTCCCCTCGCACATCTGTGCCAGTCATTCCCGACTCTAGGGGGCGCTGCTCCTCTCCGTTTCAAAGCCAAAGAGCCAGCGCTGTCCAAAGACGTCTCCGTGGTCCTGTGGCCGGCATGATTCAATGCCCGAAGGCGCAAGGAACACTGTTNGAATGGAGGCCTTTTAACTCTTGTGCTGGAGAAGGCTCCTACGAATCCCTGAAGAGGAAACTCAAATGCTTTGGCCACCTGATGAGAAGGAAGAAGGACTCCCTGGAGAAGAGCCTCATGCTGGGAAAGATGGAGGGCAGAAGAAGAAGAAGGGGACGGCAGAGAAGGAGGTGGCTGGATGGAGTCACCGAAGCAGCGTAGGCGTCAGTGGACTCCAGAGGATGGGAGAGGACAGGAAGACTTGGAGGAACGTTATCCCCCGGGGGTCGCGATGGGTCGGACACAACTTTGCAACTAACAACAACATTTTTTTAAAAAAATTGGAATTTCACAGATATCTTGTACCTTAATTTTGCAATAGTTCTTGGTTTTGATGGGCATATAAAAGTTGATTTTGTGCCGGACATTGTGAGGATTGGTCTGCTAGAAATATTACGAATACCCTAGAAAGCTGTCAGCCTTCCTTAGATAGACCTGATGGAAAAGGAACTAATTCTAATTTATTCCATAAATTTATACCTCAACAAAATCTTTTAAATTTAAACCAGTTAGTCCCTTTTATTTAAACAGTCAAAAGACGAACAGAGATAGATGCAAGCATTTCGTATCGACTCATCGGTACCTACATTACAATAACATGGTTAAAATCCGCCTGAAATATAAGATCTAGCAAGAAGATTAATTAATTAAGCCTATAATTTATGCAGGGAAGCATACAAATCTTTTTAAGTCTGAAAGCGAAAATCCCCCACTGTCTGGGGACTGTTAAGGAAATTCCTTTCTGAGTTTCTTCTTTCTCTGCCCGTTATGCAGCTCTGGGCTATTCCCTCTCTTATCTGATCATTCCCTAAGCAGCCTCTCCTCCTCCCACCTCTCAGGTCCTTCCCATGTCCTACCGCAGAAGCAGTACTGCCCTTAATTTACTCCCTGTTGCTTCCTCAGCGTCTTAAGTCGCAGACCTTTCTGAATAAATATGAAGGGAATCCGACTGAGCTTCTGAAGTTAGGAATATGTATTCCGTGGAGAGCTCAGCCTGGATTCCCAGGAGGAGGGAGGGGCTGCGTTCCCGGGGACCAAGAGACAGGGAAGCTTAGATGAGGAAGGCGGTTCAGACGGCTCCTCCTTAGAGTATATTTATAGTGGCGCAAGCACTTGCTTTAGTTGGGCAAGATTTCTGCCTGGAGGTGAGGAATGAAGGAAGGAAACTGCTCAGGATGGCATTCTGCCTCTCTTCCTTTGGTCTTGCAGCCTGACATAATTGCAGGCATAAGCTGAAAAGACTCCTGCTGAATCAGGACAGGCATTCAGCGTCTCTTCGTATTGCAGTTAATTGTCAGGTGCAAATAACCAGGAGCAATTTTTTTTTGGGGGGGGGAGGAGGGGGAGGCTTCAAAGCAACATTATTGTTGCAACCTAAATGCAACAATCTACTCAGCTGATGGCTAAACTTGTGTTAGGTAAGGGTCAACGGGATTGACAGCGGTCTGGACTCTTGGGTTGTAGCTGCGCAGCGACTCCAAGCTGATGACACATTTAACCCCACCTTCCAGTTCAGCCTGCTCATTTCCTACAATACAGGTAGTCCTCGACTTAACAACAGTTCGTTTAGTAACTGTTTGTTCTGACCGAGGCTTCCCAAGAGCCTGAAGCAAACTCCTGGTCCCGACAAAAAAACCCCTTTTATTAATGGACTGTGACTTCTGCTCATTCACCTCCAGCAAAGTCTTTCAAGGGAGGATTTACAGTCACAGACCTTCTCTGGCTTGGAGAGCTGCCAGGCCGATCTCTGCAGAACTTGGCAAGGAGCCTCAGAGAGTCACGAACCAATGAACTGATTGTCTCCTGCAAACTCCACTCCCCTTTTGCTCCTCTTTTATTTCCTCTGGGAGGGGCAACACATCGTCCAACTGTGGCCTTCCTCCCAAGTCCATCCTTGTTCTTTAGCTCTTTCCTTTGTCTGGCACATGACTACACTGGGCTCCAGCTGTTCCTTTGCCTCACCGATATCTGATTCTGAAGGCAGCTGATAACTGTCAGACGGCCCTGGCCCCCTCTCTGCCTCCGACACAGAGCCCTCATCATCAGAGCCTTCCCCAGACTCCAGGACTGGCCCATCTTCCTCCCCAACCTCCACACTCTGCGACTCTGATGCCAGCTCCACTGGCCACTGGCATGGGCCACAACACTGTTCCAAATTACAACAGGAAGGTGTTTTGAGTATCTTCTTTACATTGACATTGTGTTTGAAGGACTCGGGAAGACAACCTTGAGGCCGTTCAGATCGTTCTCCTTGTTAACTAGAGTTGCCACTAATAAAAATGAGTGAAGGATTGTCCTACCTCTCTCTGTCCATCTGTCTGTCTGTCTCTCTCTGTGTCTCTCTCTCTCCGTCTCTCTCTGTGTCTCTCTCTCAGTCTCTCTCTCCGTCTCTCTGTCTCTGTCTGTCTGTCTGTCTCTGTGTGTGTGTGTGTGTGTCTGTGTCTCTCTCTCTCTCTCTCTCTGTGTGTCTCTCTCTCCGTCTCCGTCTCTCTGTCTGTCTCTGGCCCATGTTCTCCATAATCAGGTCACTTGGAAGCCCCACCAGAATTTTCGATGTTGTGGAATGAGAGTCTCTGGTGAGGGGACCACGTTCTCCAAACCCCGCCAGATGGTGGCTCATCAGGGGCCTCGTCCTCCTGGCAGATCTTAGGAGATTTGTGTCATTGTACGAGGAGGTGATTAGTGTGCCTAATTATAACACAGATGGCCAGAGGGCAGCCTAGCTGGTGACTTTCAGGCTTGATGAAGAGCCCTGGTGGTTCCTCTCTCGCCTCCCCCGAAACCTCCGTCTTTCATGATCCTCTCAAAACAAACAAGCCAAAAGCCAACTCTGGACGCTGACTTTGAACCCAGGACAATAAAGACCCCGGGGTTCATTTTGCCTTTCATGCTGCCGTAAACGTGGGCTGTCCCCAAAATACAATCGTGACCGGGGGGAGAGGGCAGCCGTCAGAAGTTCAAAACTGGGTTGTAAGTAAACCCTGGGAAGGTCCATGGCAACTCTGAACTGTCACTAAGTGACTGGTCATAAGTAGAGGACTACCTTTATTTGGAAATCAGCTGCTGCTCATAGGCTTCCCATAGTTAGAAGAAGAGGAGGAGGGGGAGAAGAGGAGGAGAAGGAGAAGAAGCAGAAGAAGAGGAGGAGGAGGAGGAGGAGATCACTGTGGGAGGTTCTTGGTGCTCTCTGAGTCTGGTGGTTTTTTTGCAGGCATTGCATTACCCAAATAGATAATAGCATCAAACCTTCTCCCACCGACTTTCCTTATAGCACTGATGATGTTACCCAGCTTGGTAATGAAATGTCTGCAAGAAAACAGCCAAACTCGGAGACCACCAAGTACTCCAAAGATTCAATGGGGCTGTTTTGTGCTCCCCACCCACCCGCTTCATCTACGAGACCCTCTAAATAAAATTGCGTTTCCTCCTCTCTTTCAGGACGACCTGCGTCAGAAAGTGCACCTCAACACATTTGGCTTCTTCCAGGATGGATTCATGAAGGTCACAGTCAGCAACCTCTCGGTCAAATCCCTGGGGGAGAGCGACAAAGACATTCAGGTAAGGTCCCTGCTGGCCAGAGTCCGTCACACAGCTCTGGAGGGCCGACTAAGAGGGACATTCAAATTCGAACTCGCTCTTAGCCCCCTAAGAGTGCCCGGTCTGCAGAAGAAATCGGCAGGCTTCCTTGGGGAATCGGATTTTAAACTCCTCCCTCCTTGTGCCTGTTGCTTTTTCAAAACCTGGAGGCAGCCTTGAATATTAACCCTTTGTTCTCCGTTACAAATCTGTTTCCAGGTGGGCTTCAGCCTAGATCGAACACAGAATGATGGATTTCCCACTTACCTGGTAAGAAAGTACAGTCCCACCTGGATACCCAGCTGCTCTGAAAATCTTAGAATTTTGTCCTTGACGCATTTTTGACAAAAGTTGACAAATTGACATATCCTTAGTGAGGTGGGGAACTTGAAATGGCCAAATACAAACGTACTTTCCAAGTAGGCATCTATTTGAAGCTACAACTGCCCAAACATCTTAGGGAGACATTTACGCGAGTGAGATTCGAACAGCTCGATACAATCAGAGAGGGGAGATTCCACTCTATACACCCTACAATGAGCCTCCGTATTTGCGGAGCGTCAGAGGTAGAGGACCTGGCGCACGTCCGATTGGGCTGTTGCTTGTGGAAGGGGGTGAGAGGCAGAGACCTTGGTCCATGTACCAAATGGATCCCCCCTTGGGATCCCCCTATCAAAACAACTTTCTTTACCTGCAGCCAGAACTGGGAAATAACATTCAACACAGCCACAGTGCTTCAACAAAATGGGTCGGTTGAGATCTGAGATACGTGGGACCGATTGGGGTAGATTGCAGGGGTGACACCAAAATGTAATTTTATCATATTTTATATCTTAAATTATATATTTTATTCCAATTTCATTTTAAATCGTATTTTATCAAATTCCATTTTATATTGCTTTTATCAAAATTTAGTAGTAGTTTGTTTCTGGAACTTTGCCTTTGATATGGCCCCAAGGATTGATCAATAAAGACTCAATGTCAATCAGCAAAGTTGACAAATTTTGCCCTGGTACTCGTCATCTTTCTGATACTGGACACGCAAGCTTGGAACTTGTTGTTGTCGGTGCCCTTGTGACTCGCTACCCTTTCCAGCCACAACAGAGGGCCACAGATTAGTCACATGGTAGTGGCCATAAATTGAGGATTGTACCGAGACCAGCTGAATTTAAAAGCCATTTGGGGCTGTTTTTAATTGAAAAGGATTCATCCTCATCCAATAAGCTTCTCTTTCTTTTTCGGGCAGAATGAAAAAGTGGATTATTGCGTCTTGAATCAAAAGCCAAACCACGAAGTCTTGGTCATCATTTTGCTCCTGGATTTCTCCAAGAAGCTGTAAGGAACCTCGGGGCAATTGGGGCGGGGGCGTGGCTGGGGAATTCTGTGGGGGGAGTCGCAGTCCCATTTTGGTGAGGTGCCCTAAAAGGAAAGAATTTGAAAGATCGCTCAAGTTAATTGGAGAATTAAAAGCATGCCAGAGTCACCCGTTCTCCAGGAGGACAAATTGAATCGATCTGTTCAAGAAGTGTAATTAGGAAAAAAAAAAGATCAATAAGCCGATGTCTCGTCTTGGAATAAACGCTGCATGTGGAGGCAAATTAAATTGGAAGACGTAACTATGCGCCATTGGGAACCTCAGTTGCTCTTGTCCTTTCCTTCCTTCTCTCTCTTTTTGGCCTCTCTCATCCAGCATTTGATGACCGTCTTTGTCATTGTCGCCCGCAGGGTCAAAGTGAAGTTTGAAAACAAAGCTCCACAGTTGCCTGAAATTGTCTTCGGCGAATCCCAAGCAACGGGTCCTCCAGGACTTTCAGAGAAATCCGGTAAGCCATCGTGTCGGGGTCCCACTCCCCCCCAAGGAGGATGGCACTTCCTTTGTGGCATGAAATAAGAATTAAGAGAAGCCAAGAATTCACCCAGAGCAGACACAGAGCCGTCTGTGGAGATTCTCCAGATCGTGGGTGCCCCAAACTAAAATATCCCCCCCTCCCCCTTGCTTGGATTGTCTCTGACTTCCTTTATCTTCGCCTTTTAGAACCAAAGCAGCCGCCTAAGGACAACACGACGGAAGTCCAGGTAAGCAGCAGCTGGATGCTGAATGGAAGGAGTCGTGTTCCTTTCCCCATCCTGCTACATGCGATGCTCAAAATTGCCCAGCTTGGGAATTCTGGGAGTTGAAGTCCAGCAACGCTGCCATGGAGGCTACCACCCACTTGCTTTTTAAAGTTTAAAATCCTTTTTTAATTCTTTTTTCTTTATTTCATTGCCTGCTCCACACAACCCCAATCGCTGGCACCGTTGTTGGGGAGGCTCCACGGATTAAACTAGGTTTAATCTATCCTTGTCCTCGGGTGCTTTGGAAAACAGATTGAGCCCCTGTTCTTTCTGGCAGCCCCTGAGATATTGGAAGACTGCTATCATGCCTCCCCTGGTCCTTCTTTTCTATTAAACTAGACATTCCCAGTTCCTGCAACCGTTCTTCATATGTTTTGGCCTTCGTTTCCCCTCATCATCTTTGTTGCTCTTCTCTGCACTCTTTCTAGAGTCTCCACATCTTTTCTACATCGTGGCGACCATAATTCATAATTCATACCTGTTGCTTCCGATTTGATTTGGCGTAACCATAAAACCTGGTGATAATTTTGTTTTTTATCCACCAGGCGCCTGCTGAGCGAACGCACCCAATGCAAAGCGGGAACAATAGTTTTTCATTCCAGGTAGGTAGTTTCTGTTCCTCTCCATTCCTTATGAAGCCTGAGCCGAGGTGGCGCAGTGGTTAATATGCAGCACTGCAGGCTACTTCAGCTGACTGCAGTTCTGCA